GTTAATTTATGACGCGTTTTTCTGCGATACAACCAACAACACTATCAGGAGATGCTGATGGCGCAGTTTACAACATTATCAGTACGAAGCGCTTCGCAAATTATTAACACTGTGTCTTAAACCATGCATCAAAATGAAGAGCAATCGACGTAACATCAAGAAAAACTTCAAACCATGACAAATTTTGCACACAGGTTCAATAAAACGAGAAAATAGAATTAAATAGAATTAAAAAGAGGGTAAATAAAAAAATTCATTAATAATCAAGTACTTTTTTTGATAAACGAATAAATACGTAATAAAATATATGAATACTTTGTCGAAAGACCTAAGGTCGTACAACTTGACATATTCTGAATTGACGCCAACTGCAAAAATTAGGCCCTCGGGGTCATACGCTGCTACGGGTCGACCAGTTAAACGCATCACTCCCTAAAATCACAAGGCAAGAACATGGCAACGAAAGCATGGTACGGTGGCAGCTACCTGGCAGCTCTGCGATCTCAAATCCCACAAACGAATGGTCATGTCCAGAGATCCAGAAATAAATGTGTCGTCGATTGGAGAAAGACTCAGCGAGACAACCCTGAAAAGTTTAAGATAATGTTACAGAAGGATTCAACTAATTGCTGTACTTTTTGCCATGTCCGGGGTAGTAACGGATGTACTTGTTGTCGTGCAACGACAGGTAGCGTATAGTATCTGAAAATTGGTCTATCGAACGAATTTTTAAAGGCAACATACTTACCATCGACTTTCGTAGAGCTGTGAATAGCGGTGTCTGGCGCATGGGTGAAATGTATGAGATCAACACCGTATTTCTTGCTGTTTACCTGCCTTTTCCTTCTAAACAGTAAATAAGCTCGTTAATAGCTATAAACAGAAATTTGCTGTTTAAAATAAAGCATGTACTAAAATTCAGTGCCGAAATTTAAGCAAAAAAGTGTCAAAGGCACAAGGCAATCTGATTCGATGGCACAGAGATGAGGCAGATACATTTCTTAATGTACACGTGTCAAAAACTCCATCGCATTAGTCATCAGAGCACGAAACCAGTAACTATCTCTCAAATATTATTGAGATTGTAAACATGCAATAGTCAAGCTGTTCCGCCGACTTTCTGTTCTTCGTTCATATTTTGAAATGCTAACTGCAAAGCTCTAATTTGTGCACTTTTCGAGAGCGATTATGCTTCAGTTCCCAGTTCCACACTTTTCAATGAGATTCAGAGACGAAAGAGACGCGCATGCTGATTTCTACCATCGTGAGTTGGTAAAGAGCTGTTCTTCGCAGGCAATAAGAAGATCATGAACAAGAAAATGCTAAAGCAACGACGGGGCTATCAGTTCTGAAAATATTTTCGGCCACATCGTTGTATCAAGTCACCGTCTCATTTCATTTATCGGTTTATTATCGTAAGAAACCTATGCCTGCAGTATCCATTCGGCCACGTACATTTGACTTGAATTTCAACTCTTCCCTGGACGATCTCAAGCCTGATGAGATAGAAGTAGAGCTGCGGACCGTGTTGATATCTCCCGTAAACGCTAACAGACTGCCCATCTTGGCAATGTCATAATCGAACGTTATACCAGCTCGGTCCTCGCCCGGTTTACCAAGGGTCTCGCAGGGTTGTGGAACTGATGTAGAATGAGAAAACTCCCCGATGAAATCCAGTCTCACGTCTTTTGGCATCTCATGAAACAGCAGCATCGCGACAGCGAACGAAAATCCCTGACAGCAAGAGTTCCGCTATCCATTCTAAAAAAGGAGGCAGACGGCCCATTGCCATTACAGCACGTCAGATAACGTTCCACGGGAATTACAACAATTGTGGGAATGTACAGTCGGAAATTGGAACATATCCTCAGCGAAAGGGAAAGAGCAGAAACAGGCTGATGAGGTCGCAACGCACCGACCGAACATATTTGGACTCTCGTCAACAAAGCACCAAGGTCTGAAATTCTGAACTTATGCCAGTGGAAATGACACCATTTTACTCATGTGTCGACATCACGACGAGCGCCCGATATTGGTGTTCCAGTAAAACTCAGCCTAGTTGTGAGAATCATTGAATGGAAGCCTGACAGCGGGAAAATGCCAATCCCCTGACTGAAGCTAAAGCAGGTTAAAGCTCTGGCCTTGTTACAGGTCCATGTACCCAATTTAGAGGGAGAATATGAGTCCTTTCCTGAAGAAATGGAATCTGCACTTTACGAAGCGCCGACTACAGAGTACCTTATTCTAATGGGCGCTTTCAATGTGCATGTCAGAACAGAGACTGAAAAGTGGAAAAGACGTTACTAGAAAGAACGGCAATAGGGACCTCAACAATAATGCCATGAAGTTCTTGCGGTTTCGCGTAAACAACGAACTATCTCTTATGAACACCTTCTTCGAGCATCGAAGCGTGCGTCAGTATACCTGGTAGAGCGAAAATGTGCACGATTTGATAATCGTATCGTCTGACTTACGACGCTCTGTAATGGATCATTATAAAAGAGGCACAGTGCTATCAACAGATCACCACCTTGTTGTTGGCACGCTACACTGTAAGAAATGGAGTACCATAGGAAGAGCTAGTGGCAGAAGCAACCAGAGAATCAAATGGGAAACATTATCTTCGGTGAACACGAGAGCAAATTAGCAAACAACATCGCACGACGGTTTGAACATATCTTAATGATGACCACCGATGTAGAAACCGTGGGGCAGCTCTTTAAGAGCGGCGTATTTGTGGCTGCCGCCTACCGCTGCGGATTTAAACGGGTTGGCCTGCCGCCTGGAGATCAGGAAACATCTTCCTGGTAGACATGAGAGGTACAACTGACAGTAAAAGAGAAGTCTGCATTCAAGAAATGGGCTGGAAGCAAAGAGATTTATACTCACCTGCAATATGTCGAGGCAAGGCAGAGAAAGCAGTGGCGAAATCTAAAGCTGATTCTTGGGAGAAGTTCGGTGAGATGTTGGAGTCGAATTTTCAGACGGTAACGAAGGTATCCTGGCAACCATCCGCCGGCTCCGAGACGAAAAGTAGGGCAGTCTTAGAGTCTTACAGGGCAGGTCTGTACACCCTCTTACCAAGGATGAGGACATTCTTCGGCGATGGAGAGACTACCCTGTGGAACTATGCGCAAAGGCAGGAAAACTCGCCTGTAGACCAGCTGGGAACGGATATTACTATTTCTGTAGATGAAATCACACCAGCTGTGAGAAACCTGAAAAGTGGAAAAGCCGCTGAAACAGATGAAATTCGTCCTGCAAAACTCAAAGGATTAGGCGACCAAGGCAAATGCTTGCCTATACGTGTTTGTCATACTGCAGTGGCTACGAGGAAGACTCCAGAGGTCTGGAGAAGGGGAAGGCGGCTGCACTTCTGTCCAAGAATGGAGACTACAGGGAGTGCTTCAATTATCGGGGCACTGCCTTACTGAGTCTCTCGGATAAAATCCGGGCAAAGGTGCTAGAAAGGAGATACCGAGTAATAACTAGTTACAGTTTGTTAGAAAAACAGCGTGGCTTTTGGTCAGCCAAAGTACCGCTGACCAGATCTTTGGTTATGGACTTCTTTCAAATTCACCCAGCAGTCTAAGTGTTGCTACTGTTCTTTTGGTTTGCTCCTTTAGTTCGGTACAAATTCTCTTAACGTTCAAAACACAGCGTTCGCATACCGCCATATCCATTATACTGCCTTAATCTGCTGGCTTCGAGCGATCTGTCGCTATGGCTAAAAGAGTCTGAACGGCAGCAAATCAAATATTCATGATATCTAACCGTTTGAAAAGATGTTTCAGAATAACATCTTACAAATATGCGTATTTCCACGTAACGCTGCTAATTACTGTTAATCTCGTTCAGCTACACAGCAGCAGAAGATCGCTATCAGATAGACACTGATGCATATGCCAAGTCGTAAAGTACAGGAGCTTACGGGTTGATACTCAAAACTCCATAGCCCTGTATTCCTGACCGAAAACACTAGCAACAACAGCAACTTTTTATGAGGTTCACATACGTTCCGCTCTGACAGTCGTAAATGATGATCGAATCATCATCCGAGCTTGAAATCAGCAGCAGTCCGTCAGGAGAAAAGTCAAAACTGTTTATGCGGTCGGTGTTTTCCCGAAACAATTTGGCCACTGCCAGCGACCGAATCGCCTTGTCGTCCAGTTTCATAGCCGCAAAAGGGCAAAAGTCTACAAAAGACGAATAGAATGAACGAACGCGCTTTGTCAGTAATTTTAAGTAAATAAAACTTAGAAAAACAAACAGTCTTAATCGCAAAAGTTGCAAGTCTCATCGGCGTAGTGCAACGTTGCCTGAAGCCTTTGGATATCAAACCTGCAAGTTTACTTACTGTCTCTTTGACTTCCGATGCAGTAATTTCCTATGAAGACATTTTTATACCATTACGAGAAAAAAACTAATAATTATGGAGAGAAAGTAACTTAGAACTGACTTACACGACATCCATAATACAATTTAGAGCAAATTAGCACTTAAAAAACAGTCAGACAAGTTGTTTGTTACTAGGATTCAAACCAACACTTTCATACATGACACAACACAAGCTAAAGAACCACTTCATCTGCTTCATCGTCTTCTCACCTAATTTCCCTCAACAACCTAGCAAATTCTGCCGCTGTCGGTCACACGCCAAGATGAGAAAAAAGGGTTGCAGACCCCGGCGAAGTCTCCGTAAACACTCAGCCACCTGTCCCTCATGGTACTGCCATAATCGCACATTATACCGGCTCGGTCGTCGCAGGCTGCGAAAAGTCGGCGATCAGAACCTGCTCATTGATGCAACGACGACGAAGACACCAATCAGTAACGGAGTCGCTACCCGTCCTGAACGGAGGAGGCACAAAACGCAATGCCATTACAGCACGTCAGAAAAGACTCTACGAGAATGACACCGCCAGTGGTAGCTTAAAGACGGAAATTGGAATATATCCTCACGAGAGGGAAAAAGCAGGCGCAAGGTGATGAGGCCGCAAGGTACCAGTTCGGTACAGTTGCAGTCTCTTCAGCGAAACGCCAAGGCTATGGAATGCTGATCCTCTGCGGGTGGAAGCTATTCTACTCAGGTGTTGAAATTACGACGCACGCTCAGGCCGCTGTCTGTCTTCTGGTAAAATCCAACCTGGTTGATAGAATCGTTGAACGGAGGCCCATCCGCGGAAGGGTGGCAATGTTCTGACTGTATGGACAACAGGATATAGCGTTAACCCTGTTACATGTCTATGCGACCAATTAAGATGGAGAATATGACTCCTTCCTCGAGGAAGTGCAGTGTGCTCTGTACGAAGTGCCGAATACGGAGTCCCTCATAATAATGGGCAATTTTAATGCGCATCTCGAAGTAGACGCTGAAAAGTGGAAAGGCGTGATGGGACAGAACGGCCCTAGCGACCTTAACAGTAACAGCATAAAGTTGCTGCGGTTTTGAGCAAACAACGGACTGTCCATTACGAACATGTCGAAGTGCGCATCAGTATACCTGATATAGGGAAGCTCATGCACAGAAGTCGATGATCGATTTGCTAATCGTATCTTCTGAGTTCTGGCACAAAATCCCGACCCAGGCATCTTATCGTGGTGTGGGAGTGGCAATGGCCAGAGCGTCGAAGCACTGTTGGACATGTGTTCTGGCAGCTCCTAGCAAGCCGAGATGAGGCAGCAGAGCATCTCTAGCCGACTAAGCACGGCCGGTACCACTGACAGCCTAGACCAGCGAGTCGTAAGTTAGCAGGTCCAACAATTAGAACAGAAGAAGAAACGGATATGGGTCCCAGTACCCTGCGCGCCCTTGAGACCGGCCTCTGGCGGCGGGCCGGCAACCGAAGGACGAGGGGCTGCTAAGAATCTGAGGATGCACCAGGCCGCCAAAAAGAAAAAGAAACGGACTTGACCTCTCGATATGCATCTACGATTGTAGGTCACTGTCGAGGAATGCACACATCAACCATCTCCTCCAGGAGATTAACAGAACGTCTTGCGATGTAATCGAAGCCCTCGGAGTCTGCGAGACACGAAGAAAGTCAGAAATCA